CCTCTACGTTCAAATCGTTAATTTAACGTCTTGGGCATAAAGCTGGATCGTTATATACACTCTCTTTTGTAATATCATTGCATGATTCTCGAACTTAATAACTTTATAGGTTGCACAATATTGAACGTCTCCTTTATTTTCATAAATAGCCAACATTACACGCATAAAGAAAACCACTTAAGATTGATTCAAATGAGATGTTTTGGCTTCGTAATGTATTAAGCATGAAACCAATAATTGAAGATAGTACATCGAACATCAAAATTGTAATCCTTGGAGCAACTACATTCGACCTCCAAAACGGTGATTTTATTTTAATCAACCAACCCACGATTTCAAAAGATCGATGTTTTTTCTTACGACCCTGTTTGTGGAACATATGTGCTAGTTATGCTTATCATCTCTTTCTCTCCACACAAGTTTGACATGACTTTTGAAAAGTCAAACATGCCCGAAGTTTTAAGTCAGGAATTGATGAATTATTGCAAATTAAATATGGACCCACACATCTGTACGAAGCTATTATCAAAAGATAACAATCTCAACAATCATCCGAAAAGTCGAGATGAGTATGTCCTAATAAATATGAACATCCATCGTTCATATTCCGTTCACATGCACCACATATCACTGCAAAAACACATGATACAAGTTGAAACTTTAATCGATTTCATACACTCAATTTTCACATGTTTCCAAACCCAACCACTCCCTATAAATACGATTGGGAAAATATCAATCAAGTCATTATTTTCGATTAGACACGTCGGGCCCAAAAATAATTGACTTTTCTGCATTTTGTACCATCTATTTTGAAATTAAATATTCTTTACTTTAAGATTTTAAACGTTTTTACCGTGGCACAAAGACTGATATAAATTCAAGCACAGAAGTTGAATAAATTAACTAAAATAAGAACTACAAGTTACTTAAGGTATATGAATACGATGTATTGTTCGATTCAACTCGATTTTTTGGTATTATGAAAAATGAGTATTAAGGTCGAAATTCGTCTCTATCCTAAGTTTTTTTTTAGAAAGTCCAAGGAAATATGAACTCA